CCCCCCCCCCCCATCTGGGGACGAGTGGAAGAGGACCCTACGAAAGAGGTTGGACTTTTCACGGATTCAAAGAAAACTATTTGAGTGCCTTCTGTAGACTAAAAATTGTCTGGTAAAAGTGACTGTAGGCTAAGCCATGAAATTAGATCCTGCCTAAATATAATGACCTTGGTTATCATCATACTCATCAAAGAAGATGTTACTTACCTTATAATCAATTGCGAGGATCATGTTGGACCTTTGCTATAAAGATTTGGTTTTTAACTTGATGACTTGTGATTTTGAGTTCTTGGACGTCTCGAGCGAATGCTTGCTTTTATAAGAAATATCTTACAGCCAAAATATGGGAAAATTTTTCATTTGGCAAGTAAAGAATATTTAGATACAACAAAATACATCCTCTCGGTTTCACGCCGTTTCAGGTGTTATCGGCCCACTGATCGATATCTTAAACGTGATATCAAAAAGTGTCGGAAAGCTTAGATGTAAAATTATTGCTAACAGCCTGGGTGTTTTTCAAAGTTTTAAAGATAAGAACAATTAACTTAGAGAGGCAATGACGCCTTGATCTAAAGTATTGGCTTAACGGATATTAAGTCATCTTCGTTTTTAGTGGCAGTTCTGACTTTTATTTAAAACGATAGAAGAGTTGAAATGAAGTCGACAATGTTATCTTCCGTTCTTTAATTAAAAGGTATCAATATATGCACGCCTTATAACGTTTCCTCATAACAACTGGTCGGGGCTGATCTAGGTGTGTACTGTGCAGTAAAGGAGACCAGTTTTCTTTCTTTCTAATCAAGTTGAAAAATAACGCTAAGCGTTGTCGTTGTAGACCGTAAAACAACACCGGTGTTTTTGACGTTGTTGTTTTTTCATAAAATGGCTTGACTGGATAGAGAATTTTCGACATGTTTGACAATGTACTACAAGAAGCGAATCCACTCAAGATAAAGGGGGATTTTACCACCAGCGTCACGGGACTACGTCATACTATTTGTTATCTTTTTAAAAGCTAAAACTTTTTTTGCATCAATTGAATTCCAAACATAATGGTCCAGTTTTGTTATGTAAGACTATATTTTGGCATTGATATTGTTCCTCGTCGTCTGTTGTAATGGACTGAAGGATTGAAAATGGATTGAAACTTAGGCCAGCAACAAGATGCAGGACATATAGCAACCAGATAAGTACCAGACTCATTTAGGTAATGAAAGTGAAGAAGAAGGTGACTTTGAAGAAGTTTATAGCAGGACAATTAATGCATGACAAGGTCGGGAAGATCGGTACGAGATCATGACTGTTGCGTCTGGGTCTATGAGAACGGTGTCAAATTGATGGTTATATTAATCTAATACGTACTTACAGCAGAAATCGTTTAATAGGAAAGTGAAAGTTAATAGCTAACCAAAATTAGTATAGTTAACTGAGAATTGGCCAAAAAAAAAATGGTAGTTAACTTATATTTGGTTGAAAAATTAGTAGTTAACTGAGAATTGGGTACCTCCATTAGCACCCTCTTTAGACTCGCCCCATCATTTTTCTCTCGTTTCGAGTTTCAACATGGCGCTTTCGCGAGCAAAATATTCGCGCGCCCGAAGAAAACGCCCGCACTGCAGGCTAAGTATTTTCGGAATCGGGTATTTGAATAAAATACACTGCGGGATTCAGAAAAACGCAAAATATCTTGACGGGAAACGGGATCTGACTGCTACCCGGGAAGCGAGATTCACCAAAATTTGGACACGGAATGCGGGAAATGTTTTGCCTGTCTGTTGGGAATTCGAGGAATGCGGCAACTGCGAATCAACCAGGCGAGAGATCAGTGGTGTCTCCTCTGCCATCTTGTCTTCCTCTTCGCTTCTTCCGCTCTTTCCCCCCGCTTCGTCACACTAAGATATGAAAGGCTGTTTCGTTTTTGCAATGGCCTTAAAACACACGTGAATTCAAATTTTAATAGAAGGGGCTAATCTGCATCTTACATTTATTTGCGTTTGCAGCAGTTAGTCTTTTTTAACTTAAATATTTTGGAAACAAAAAACGGGATTCGGGAAAGCGATGAAAAACAGTGCGGGATCTTTCGTCCAATAGGAGCTGGATCAGATTTTCCCCCAAACGGTTGGCCGCTCGGGGAATGGAAAGATTCAAATTTATGGCTTAATTAATTCGTGATTGTTTCTTTTTTAATAAGTGACAGCTACCTGTCAAATAAGAAGTAAAACACAATAGATTTCTTTGCAAACTTGATCTGACAAGTATTTCATTACGTACAAAGAAAACAAAATGGACGACGATTTTGGTTTAGCAATGAAAGAAAGAGGCTGAACCTGATATTATGAACATTTTGACCGGTAGGCTCTTCTTTTCTGCAGTTCTCGTGTTATATAGTTATGAGTATTCTTTACTCATTAAGTTTAATCTAATAACCTGTTTCGTCTTTGATGTTTTAGAGTATTGTGTCTACGACATTCACACGCTGTCCATTCTATAACCTTCAGGTAAAACTGACTTCATTGTTTAATATAGTAACGTAAAACATCGTTTGTCAATTAATTTGGCAAACATAATCAAGGTATACCATCCTTTTATAACCTAAAATTATACAACATTCCAATTGTGGCAAACTCGCGAGGAAGGCTTTCTTTAATTAGCTTCTTACATATTATGCAAATAGGCAAACCAAAATATTGTAGTCTCTTACACGCATTGCTGTTGCATTTAATATCATGAGGATCCCAGACTTATCTGAGAGTTTTTCGAAAACTTTTTTAAAGAACAATTAAAAATTGCAAAAAAAAAATTGATTAAAAAATACAAGCCACTTTTGTCAGTACCACTCCTAGACAAAACCGGTGAACAAAATATGTATGAAATTTTTGAAGGACACAATTTATGATGTTAGAATTACTTGTGGGTTACTTATAACGGGCAGTCATGAGCGGGCGCGCGCTAAACGTGGTTTCAGCAACTGTCGAGTCAGCATTTACGTCCACGTGCCATGTGGGCAGCTTGTTGTAAGCCATAACCTCACATTTTACTACGTATAGCTTATGTACTGTGTAAAAAACGAGTAGGAGTGTATTATTATTGCACTAATATTTAGATTTGGGGTTGTTTTGGTCTAAAAAAACTGGACGTAGACTTTAGTAGTAAAACTAATACATTGCTCTAGTAGATGGAAAAATATAAAAGATTTCTAATTAAGTGGATACAACGATGAAAAATAAATAAATTAATTAATTACATTAAATAACATGCTAATACAGAAAAGCAAAAAAGATAACATACAATAATCAAATAAAATATAACTGGTCTAAACACACGCACACACACGCGCATATTTCTATGTAACATTAAAGACATAAATACATACAAAGAGAACAAAAATATATAAAGTTTTATAGCCATTGGAAACTTCGTGATTCCATGCACGGAGTTAAAATGCTAGCGGCCATCTTGTTGCCGCGCTGCCCAGTGTTATAGCCGTGTCTTTATCAGATATAAAGACACCCTTTAAATATTAATTTTTTTTGTTTTTTCTTTATTGAAGGTCGACGTTTGATGTTGTTCAAGACTGTAATGTATCCAATACATTTTTGAGTTTAAACGCCACATGTGGCCAAAGTTAGCTGTAAAGCCACAGAGATACGTTTTGGAAAAGTACTAATGAGAAGTCCATTCCACTTCTCCTTGTATCAGAAATATTGCAAGGTCGTACCCGGCAGCGGACGTTTTTACAGTTAGCTCCCATCCACATAAAGCTTCGTTGACGTACTGTTTTGGAAATGTTTTTTGTTTCAGCACCCACTCCTAAAGTACATGATTAAAAAGGAAAACAAATGGAAAGGTTTGAAACGAGGCCCCTCCAATAAAAAAAGCTGACTACGACACAAGTATGTAGTTAAGTACGTTGCAATTATATTTCTACATCAGCATGAAAATTGGCTGGACTTCAAGCACGTGCAAGTCTACTAAAAATGTGTCATAAACCCTGAGAACAGGCTGCTTACAACATAGCGATGCGTTTGGTGGAGGAAAAAGGAAACTATCGTTCGCCGGGTATTGGTGTTAGGTACATAGGCACAGGACCCCATTAAGTAAGCAGTATTACCAAAATAAACTACCACCCGCCTGAGTTTACTCGAAAATTTTTATCTGCTCTTAATTTAATTCAAACCAAAGTTTTCCCAAAGAGGCTCAGTGGAATTGGACCAGGCGAGCTGTTGCCACGCAGGCAAGGTGTGTCGTGATCAATTATAGTCACTGGCGGGCGGGAATCGAATCAGTGTCTACAACTTCTCAATCTTTTTAAACTCAGTTTGATTTTACTACATCAAACTTTTTTCTATGTTTTGTTCTGCGCCGATAAATAAAAGATCAAATTGAGACTATTGAGGCAGCGGATCAATTGTTTTCCAGGCGAATGTATTTTGATCATCGAATCGTTCCGAAGACCGCGATAAGCTATTATTGTGGGCTAATGTTTTCTAACAACTGGTCTATGTTAACTGAAGTTAAAAGTGTAAATTAATCAGCAATAGTCAATATAAGCAGGAAGTATGATTTACAAAGATATTTAATGAAAGAAGACAGACTGTATTCAATAGCTTAAAATTATAAAATCAGCTGGTACCACCGTAAAGAAGGTGATGAGCTCTTAGTTTACTTTTAAGTTGTCTTAAAAGACGTTGGTAAGCTAAGGTTAAGAAATTGCACACTGCTTTTCAATAAAAAGCGGAATAATTTTCTTTTCTCAAGATTTTAACCTATTCAGCTCTAAGCATGGCAGAAGACGCCACATCATTGGACTAGTCGCTGAGTGGGTAAACCACAAGTAGCCAATGGTAGTGCTCGGTAGAATAAATTCATGATGCTCTTTAACTTGTTCGTGCGAGAACTTGTTTAACTCCCAGTGAATAGTTACGAAGGAATTGAAGGGCAAAAGTTCAGCAAGGTAAGGGTTGTACAGTTGTATTTTTGCCGATTTCTCATTATTTTTTATGTTTGACATCGTATTCATTTCCCCCATCCTCACTGCAGGTCAATTGTACTCAGACAGGCCAAGTGTGGCATGTTCTAGAAGCTTAAAGGTAAGTTGTCTCTCAGTCAACCTTGTCGCGTTTTAAAAAGAACTACCCTACAAAATTTGATTTAAATATATTGACGACGATCCCAAATTTGCGTTCTAAAACTGATCAGTTGTCCAGAACAAAGCCTAGGCTTATATATTTGAAGTTTTTTATTGCTCAGTTCTTGTCGCTGTCAAAACCATTACAGCTGGTATAAATTTCGCCTTCATTTCGAGATTTTTTCTTTTATCAGTTAACAAAAGATCTGGAAAACAGTTCAAATTATTTCTTTAACGACTTACTCCCGCTTCGAGCAAAATTCGAGTCGTGTATGAGTTAAATAGGAAACTGACCGGGTTGTATACTTTTATATAATGCGATCAATTTTGTCACAATAGTCTTAAGTATTGCCGTGGTAAGGTATGTGTAACGAACCTTTTAAATTGTGATTTGTATGCAATTCAGTGTGGGGGAAGAAGGGCTGGATTTTCTGCGATTTGGAGCCGGGTCGTATACCAACTAATAAAACTGTGATAGTAAACTTGTAGTTTATAAATTACGTCAGGTAACTAGCAATAATTGTTTTCTTATGCTGGTATAAAATCTTGAACTCATCTAAACTGACAAAGAGGTTTTGCAACGTGGTATACCATTGTACCATCAGTCAATCCAGAAAAGAATTTTTGTCGTTTTTCATGTTATTTAGGTCACTGGTCCTTAAACTTGTTTCGAACTTGTAACTTACCAAATAAAATGAGCGCCTTGATTGGTCAGCTTGGTGTGAGCTAACCAATGAGAACATTTTACCTTGTTTTGACATATTCTTTCTACAAGCTTTTGAACGTGCTAAAAACATGTTTTTATGCTAAAGATGACTATACAAGATGACATAGAAGATCAATAGTATTAAATTTAATACTTTAAACTATTCATCACTTTTTGCGGACACCGGACTACAGCCATACAAGCAATTTAAGGTTGCTACATGTATTTTAGTTGTCCTAGTTTTACTGTATTAAGTAGCTAAAAATTCAGTTCTTAAGATGCTCAATGTAATTGTCCAATTTTAAGTGCTCGTTTCAGGTTAGATTATCAACTTTCAACTGCGTTTGCTTTACCAGTGAAGATATTTCACAAGCAATGGCCATTTTTTCCAATGTAAATGTTTTCAGTTTATTATTTTTAATCTAGTACTACGTCCTGTTTACGCGTTTTTACGAACAAGCTAAAATTGGTTTTACAAAAGATGATTATAATCGCATAGGTTGTTCTTTATTTCTCAAACCTGAAAAAAGGAGAATTGCGGAAGCCTAACGGATTGATTCCTGAAACCGTTTTGTTTTGTTTTGATCTTTTTTAATTCGAAAGAGTAAGAATTCAATAACTAACAAGATTACTTGTCTAGTAGCCTTCAGTTCTCCTCGAGGATAGTATAGAGAGCAAGAAAAAGCGAATACACGTAAAAATCTTCATTCTCCATGAGAAGAATTAAAAACACAGTTCTCTTTGTGGTGATTGTTGAACAATATATTGATCCCATAGTTTGATTCTGCGCGATCATGCCATTCTGTATGAAGATACCACTGGCCATTATGTTATGGATAGTACCGTTACTGCTGATCCCTTTGTGTTCTGCGAATAGTAAAAACAGCAGCAACAAGGTGAGTTTGATTTGTTAAATTTCAGAGGAGCGGGACTTTATTTGATTTCAGTGATTAATCGAGAAAGTGAATGGTCGTTGATTGCCGGCATGCATTTACCAGGAAAAAAGGAATGAAATTGGATGGAATCAATGAAAGTATATATGAGAAGGATTTTTTTGATATCTAGACATGTTTCATGCCGCTTCACTTTATACATATTAATGGTAAAATTCAAAATCGAAATGGATAGTCCACTAGTCGAATAATGCAAATTAACAGGAAATGAATAGTTGAACTCTAATAAAATGATTAGTAGTTGAATTGTTCCTCAACTGAACGAATGATGGACCTGATATTATGTGACTGAGTGAATCTAGCAGTGAGAGTCATGTAGTGTCAGCGGCCTAAAGAAGACTCTTTCTCGCGAGTCTTGTTTTACTGTTCTTAGCTTATACCGGCTTTTATTTATTTATTTATTATTAGTCAAAATTTATTGTCAATTATTTATTTACTTACTTTTCAAATGTTATTCAAGGAGCAAACATACCAAGTGCATAAATTCCAAGTCAAAGAGAATGAATGATGCCTTAATCCTTTTTTTTTTTCAAATTTCTTCAACAGAATTCACAACATGGCTCTTGTGGTTACTCGCCATGTCTCTGCGCACCGGGTATACCGGGCATCCCAGGAAGCCCGGGACCCGCGGGACCAGCTGGTACAACGGGATCACCCGGGAATAACGGACCCGAAGGATCTATGGGTCCACGAGGAGTCAAAGGCGATGAAGGACCCCGTGGAAAACAAGGACTTCCGGGCACCAAAAGAGATACAGGGTCGAGGGGTCCAACAGGCCCACTCGGAAGCAAGGGTGATGCAGGTCCCCCTGGAAGTCAAGGACCCCCTGGCCCCAAGGGACCACAAGGACCCTCGGGTCAAGCTGTACGTAATTGGAAACAGTGCGTTTTTAAGAATCTGAACGATGACAGGGACTCTGGATTGGTCAAGGTAAAAGCTAAAGTTTGCCTCAGAATAAAAAGTTTATCAGTACTTGGGTTTTATTTAGAAAGATAGAATTCCATTTGAAGGTCCTGTTCGCAAATTTGCTTGGACTAACTAGAACCAGTAGCCCGTGCTGCTCATTTCTTTAATAATTTATTTCTTCTGCTTCCAACATGATGTAAAATTTTAAAAAATTCTTTTTTCGAGTAAAATCATGCAAAACAAATGATATTATATAAAAGCACTTGTCAACAATTTTAATGTGAATGGTAACACCATCATAGGATTTTGTCCACAGATTCAAGTGTCCGTTTACCGTACCCTTATTGAAACCTGTCAAGTTACAGGCGTACAAAATTTAAGTGGTACGCTCTCGTTGTTTTTCTTTTTCTGCTCAATTTTCTTTGCGTCTTCCCCACTATCTGCGGGCCGGGACAGGCAGCTACCCACCATGTACTACAGCATGAAAAAGTACCAAATTAGGGCACGCGTATTCTGAAGTTTAAAAGCCAACTGATGTTTGCGTTTTTCACTGCCGTAACTCCTTTTGGCGGACCTCGTAGGAAACCGAAGTTTACGTCAACGGCTTCAAAAGGTCATGGTTTGTGATTTGTGATTGGTAGATTTCGATCCGTTTCGTGTGTTTCTGTGTTTCAAGTTTCGTTGCTTGTGGTCATGATTATGATTCACGGCAGCGAAAAACGCAGTTAAGAAGGGGGCTTTTGAAATTCAGAGTTCGCTTGTTTTTGAAAGGCTCAGGAAAAGATGACCCCGAGAATTCTGAATTTGGTTGCTTTGTTTTTCATTTCCTATCCTTTCAACAGGAATGTATTTTCAAGAAAACGTCAGATAACACAGGGCTGCGTGTCTACTGGAGTGTGCACCTCCGCATCTATAACTGCAACAGCTTTTGTAGGCGATGGTATTTCACCTTTAATGGCGCAGAGTGTTCGGCACCAGCAGCTATTGATGCGACAGTCTATATGAATCTCGGAGCTGGCAGCAGAATAAACAATTTGTACCGCCCACGTCACGTCGAAGGAGTTTGCGATAAAATTCACAAAGGTACTGTGCGCATGGGATTCTGGGTCGGCAACTGCTCAGGTTACGGTTCTGCTGATGCCGCCACAGGCTGGAAATCAGTGGCCCGGATCTACGTGGAAGAAGTACCTCCCCCACAAGTTTAACAAGAGCAGATTCAGATATTATTCTTAAGTTTCAGGGTTCTTACAAGACGATAGACATAGACAGAATTATTACTACAGGACTTAAGGATAACTGTTAAGGTAATAAGCACTTGCAGTATGTTAGTAGAGCAGTCAATACAAAAAAACAACTTAACTGTGAAAGATGAAGAACCTTTAGGTTTCCGACAAACTGTAATCTAAATTTGAATATGCAATAAAAGCAACGTAGATTTATCAAAAGCGTGCTTACAGACCCATTATCCTATAGGATTTTAAGCTTATCGCAGGTTTTTGTTATAATATCGTAGGTGACGAATTGCTCCTTAATTTTGGCGCGAAATTTCAGCGTTTATACTGCTAAATGGGAAATTTCTGCATTTTGATTGGCTTAGAGCAGTGGTATTTCAGCTTAATTTGAAATACCTACGTGTGAAAATTACAACCTTTTGCGGGTAGTAGTATAAACAAATAATACCATGATTGGTACGTGATATTTGGCATAAATACCACTCGTGATATTTCAAAATTGTCTCAAATTTCACTCGCCTAACGGCTCGTGAAATCACGTATAACAATTGTGAAATATCACTCGTGGTATTTATGCCAAATGTCACTACTAATCATGCTATTACCTATACTAATTTGTCTCACATGTGAAATTATTTAATTGCCACTGCAACCTTCCGTACGTCTCAGTGTTAAGATGGCGACGAAGTTTTAAAATGCCGTGAATGAAGATGTCAGCGCACTAAAAGACGCTTTAGAAAACCTGAACACACGAAAGAGCACATCAAGAAGGATTCTAACAGGTATTTTATCCAAAAATTCTGAACTTAAGCCGAATTTAAGGTCTAACTCTTGAGAGAGTCAAGTTCTCGACCGATACGATCCAGGATAAAAAAGTAAAAACTTCACGATTGCTAACGTAATTCGTCACCCATTATATTAATAGATAGTCAAATGGTATACTCGTGAAATTAGGAAATAATTTCACTTGCGTTTTGTC